GGACCGTGGTAACGAGAAGACTGGTCTGTGTACGGTGAGTAGGGCTGGTTGAAATAATAGATTCTGAGATGCATTGCAAATCCTTCATCAAATATTCAAACTCATCCCTCAACGTTTTGATGGGTTGTAACAATTCTGTGATCCTGGGCTTTCCGTTACTTACCGCTGCCCCTCAACGCCACTGTCTAGCTTAAATTCAAAGATAGGCTAAATACAAGCAGAGCTTTCAGAGCAGCTGAGCTTGAGCATCTGAACATGGGTACGATATGACCAGCACTACCTAACATATACACCGTATTTATGTCCCTCCTCCTTCATCTTTTATATTGATCAAAAAATGTTGATCTATGAAGAACAATAGAGTGTAATTTCATTTCTGCTCTCCAAAAAGAATTGTAGGAACCTCCCCTAGTTGTGAACTAGACATACCAAATACACAACACAAACTTGGGATCTGTGGTTTTGGTCAAATATTTACACAAATTCCTTTGTGTTTTGTTCCCAGGAGGATCGGATGTCAAAGGCCAAGGTCAGCGACATTCTGACGGAAATCTTCAAGAAGATCGGCTCCAAAGAGAACACAAAAGAGGTTAGCCTTTCGTCAAATCATTCCAGGTGTTAAAGGGAATGTTTCTACAGCAGCTGACTTGTTAAAACCGAAGGATTATTATGGAAAACGTGCTGAGAAAACATTGAATGTCTCTGATCTTCTCTCCAGGGTTTGACGGAGTTGTACGAGTACAAACAGAAGTATTCCGACGCAGATCTGGAGCCTTTCCTCAAAAACACATCCCAGTTCTTCCAGAGCTACGTAGAGCGAGGGCTTCGCTTAATTGAGTCTGAGAGGGAGGGCAAGGCTCGCATCCAGACATCTGCAGGTAAAATTGTTAGCTGTGCTCGGCTCTTTTGTCAGAAAGAAGCCTGCCCTGTATAGTAAGGTGAGTGCGTCTCCTCAGTGATCCCTCAGCATGGCGTGGACTTTAGTCTAAGCAGCAGCAATGAAGAGCTGAAACCAGCCGTTTACTACGAGAGACTCAAGATCCTCAGACAGAGGCAAGGTCTAGAGAACAACTCAAAGGTCAGTATACCCACCACACATCTCGATGAAGACACTCCGGGAAGACTCACTCCTAAATACCTAAGTGTGTGTGTGTGTGTGTGTGTGTGTGTGTGTCTCTCTCTCTCTCTCTACCTACCTACCTATATGACAGTTACAACAAGGTGGAGAAAGCTTTTTGCATTTACTCCACTTGTCAAACAGAAGGGGGGGGGGGGGGGGCGTGGCAAACGGAACACTTATGCTAAGCTAGCTGCTAGGCTGCTTCCATCTCAACATCTAACGTTACCCTGCGTGGCACACAGTCTGCAGAGGACCACCACTGTGTCCCTAAAAGACCGTGGTTTGAAAACGTCCTGGCTAAATGTTGGGAGATTGTTGGCACTTCAAACACAGCCGTTAAATTATGGAGTTGAAAGTGCACACGGACATCAGGAAAAGGCGCTAGTTCAACATGTTTCACCTGGTGGAATTCTGCCTCAAAGATGATCAAATGTGTGTAGTTTTGTGTTTAAAATAACATTACCAATTAAACAACAGTGTATAAAATACAGGTTTTCTAAAGTGATTACTTATTACTTATAAGATTTAGTTTTTAGAAGAAAAACAAACATTCATTAAAAACAATCTTTAATCGACCATTTATTGAGATTAATGTTTGTTTTTTTAATCTATTGACAGCCCCAATATATATGCACACTAAAAAGTAGTTGGATGTTTGTTTTTTTAGTTATTTTGTTTTTTTTCCCATACCGGTGGACCAGGTGATGGTTCTGCATTTGTGCTCAAGAGGAGCTGACCCGTGTGTGTGTGTGCTCTCTCTCTCCTGCAGCAGGGCGTCGGTGGCAGCGAGGACGAGCCTCAGCAGAGACCTCCCATATCCTCCCTGCTGTCGTCCAAGCCGCCTGTGGCCTCGTCCACCGACATGCTCCACACTAAGCTGTCTCAGCTCAAGGAGTCCAGAGAGCTGTACCAGCAGGAACACAACACACACTCCCATTCCCCGACACACGCACACACCCGCTCTGCCTCCCCGGCAGCCAACCTCGACGACCTGAAGAAACGTTTGGAGAGGATAAAAAGCAACCGGCAGTAAGAAACCCCATGCGCCCCTCATCCCATCTCCCAGCTGCTGCTAGAAATATTCATGTTCTGGTGGACGGAAATAGGAAGTGGTTCAACAAAACACACCCTCAAGTTTGAATTTGAACCCACTCCACCCACTGTGCCTGTAAGTTATTAGACATCAAACGCACCCTTATCTGATATGTGTGATGTAGATGAGTAAGTTCATATTGATATTTTTAGTGCCTGCACACACCGATAAACTATCGAAAAGTTATGTACTATTGGAACTTCTGTCTCTCAATGAGCTTTGATGTTGTGTACAGGATCACATAGTCAGCTGTACAGTGTTAGAACGTCCTTCTGTCCCGTCCCAGCTTTCTCTTTCAGGGTGCCTCCCACCCTTCACTCTCCCATGTACACTTTTTACTCTGATTATCAAACGGTAAAGTATCCCTTCTCTCTGTTTCAGTATGCATATTATGTGTATAAGTTAAATGGTTACAACATTTTGAATATGTACAAAGTTGTCATGTAGTTCCAGGACAAAACAAATCTAATTGTGTTTCTTCCTGATTGACCATTGATGTTCAATGTCACAGCTGCTGGATTTGGGAGGAGAGATGCTTGTGACCATCCCCATCTCTGAAAATACAGCATGTTACTGCCCGGTACAGCTATACGCATGGAGGTGCAGTGTGCTTTAAGCATGGGGTTAGTTTGGGAGATTGTCCAGTTTGAGCCCTCAAGTACTTGCTATTTTAAGGTTTGTGCTTTTAAAACCGCTTCTGATTTAAAAGGGCCAAATGTTATCAGATTGTTCACTCAGTCCAACTGTAGTGAGCTGACTTGGCAGTTCTGGGTCAAGTAGTTCTGCTGGTTTTCTGGAGAGCATTGTTGCTTTACAGCTAAATGAGACTGAGAATGTGTGGCCAAGCAGAGCTGTAAATACTGTCCTGCACTAATCTCCCTTCATTTATCGAACACGTGTGTATACGCCTGAACAGTACGGCATGAAGTCAGTGATTGTTTTTAATTTGTCATGTAATAAATAACCTTTCCATTAACAAACCGGTTGTTTAATAATTTTTCTGCTGAAAATGGCCTTGTCAGTTATCTTAAGGAAGGAAGCAAAGAAACTCTTTTTTATTTTTTATGTTGGTACATTGTTGCTCACCTTGTATAATCCATAGTATAATATGCCAATAAAGTTTTTTTTCAACAATCAAGCTTTGAGTTGGCAGCTGTTCTGGTGTTCCGGTTTGACGACCTGCTAATTGGTGGCTGCTATTCTTTTTTTCGTTTTGTTTTTTGTTTCTACATGTTAATCATTGTGGCCACTCCTGGCTCACATCTGCCTCATGCACCCTGGCACCAATATCCAGGCTGGAGAACGGGAGCTGTGATCCTGCCCTATCTCATTGCACATTGACGTGTGCCGTTGCTGGGAGACACAACAAATCTCCTGAACATGGACTGTTACGGAGAACCAACACACATTTATAACAAATGCACAACGACCAGCTGACATTACCAGGGGCGCTGCGCTGTTAACGGCAGCTCGTCTGCCCGCATCCGCCCGAAGTTATTAGCGAAAAATCACTTTAATGCCGTAACGGTTGTGTTGGGGTGTTCGAAGGCCCTCGAGGGGAATCACACGTCTTTGTGGTCCCGGCCGGAAACGAATCAAAAGTCAACTGGCTCGAATTTAAAAATAAAAGTATTATTATAACTAAACAAAGTGATAAGTAATACAATTACGATGTGAAAAACAATGGGAATAGTTAAATATTTTGCGAAATAGCTAATTCTCAGACCAAGTCTATTGCGACTTATCAAAGCGGCTGCATGAAAATTCTCCAGTTCTCAAGTTTTAGTCCTTTGAAAACTCCTGTGGTGTGTCTTTTGGGTGAGTTTGAATGTTTTTGGCTTATTCTTCAAAGGTGTCTCCTCCTGGTTTGTCCTGTATGTGTGAGTCTGCTAGTGATAACTCGAAAGTAACAAGTCCTCTCAAAGAGAGATTAAGAATCAACCCTTTCTTTTCATTGTATTTAAGATTGGATGTAAAACCATTGACGCCAGAGAAAAAGATTGAAAAAAAGTAAATATATAGATATAGATATATATAGAGAAAAAATATAGAGTTGAGTCAAAACTATATTCAAGTTGTATATTTTCATGTGATGTCTTCCTGCTGCATACAAATTGCCCTTCTGGAACAAAGAATAAACTGAACTGACTTCTTATCCATTATGGGCTTAGTAGGAATTTCCATACAATTTACAGTGACACAGTCTCATCATCAGCAGCAGAAGCCCCTTCCCATACTGCAGAAGCTCCTACCCCCTGCCATATTGAATAGAATTTGTAATGACAGGATGTGCCAAGCCATGTGTTTTTAATGAATAATACTCACTGGATCTTCGTCTGGTGGCAGGGGAGTAACTGTGTCGTCACTACGAGGCAAAACAATGTCTGGAGCTGGTGCCCCTTCCCAATGCCAGCCAAATGAGACTTCTTCTTAACTGCTAAATCATAGATAAACCCATTCACACACTGATGACAGGAGAACCATAGACAGTGACACCTGCCCATCAGTAACTAACATTCATACACTGTAGTCGCAGCTACAGGAGCAATGTTGGGTTAAGTGTCTTGCCCAAGGACACATCGACATGCGGGTCAGCAGAGCCTGGGATCGAAACGACAACCCTCTGATTGGAGGACGACCGTGCTCCCCACTCACCCACAGTCAGATAGAATATGTAAGCAGCCATCTTGTAAGTCATTTCTACATACCATTTGCAAACTGTTAAGGCACTTACCAACCTGCAAAATGTTTTTATATTTTATTTTATTTAAAAAAAAGATCCTAGCAATAGGTAATTTTTATTCTGTATGAACATTAATTAAAGATATTTAGAATTAGACACCACCACCATATTCTCCAGAGGAACATTAATTCCCGCTAACCTTTAAGGCAAAGTATGCTAAATAATAAGACATTTTATTTATATAGTGCATTACATGGTAGGCTACTCAAAGACAGTAAAAACGGCACAATTAGCACATAAACACAGATAAAGCAATAAAACCAACTACAACAACCATACAACTTTCCTAATTCACAGCCAGGCTTTTTCTCTGTTTAATTACAGCTGCCATATTTCCTTTTTGGCATATTATATGCTTTCACTTCCTCATACATTTCCATGATTAGTTGAAATCATGAATTAGGTGAAAAATATGCCCCGCTTTTCTATTTCTGCATCAGTATATCTGTGATCAATACTGTGGTCTATTTAAGAAAGCCGCGGACTTGCACTTATCCCAACTGCGTACACCTAGATTGACATAGCTTCACCTTCTCATACTGGCTCGTGCAACCGATTTAGCCGCTCTGAGCGGATCACACTAAGTCAAACTGCGCTTTTTCAGTTATCCTGGCTTTCTTTATTCTACTTTAGTGCAATAGCCCCCAGCTGTGGAAGAACAAAGACACAAACCTGTATTCAGTGGTGACTTGCTAAGCTCATGTTCCCTGGCAGGTTCTAGGCGTGTCCCGGTGCATGAATTGAAATATTGTTACACCTTCTATCAGGTCACACCAGAACAAACACCTTATAATCTGAAATCACTACAGTGGTTTACTTTCATAGTGTTGCCTTTATAAAATCATCCACAATTTAACGTCAAAAACAAGATTTAATGATGTGAGCTGTTGAAATATGCTTCCTCTTGGAAAAATATACTGTTATACCTTAACGTGCAGTAAATTCAAGTTTTTTTTTAAAGGCAATCTGCGGTTGCTCAGGTAACCAAAGCATCAACTCTCCACACAGCAATGACGCTGTAATGCAGAATTAAATTACCAGTCTATAATGTTTAATCCAAATAAGACACTGAGTTCATGGAGCATGACACTAAATATAATCACAATATGACCATTGCCAAGAGTTATTTGAGAAAGTATAAAGAATAAACATATGTATGAAAACAGCACTTTGTATACTTAAGAGTTTAAGACATTTCAAGCTACAACTACCTAAAATATCTCTAAAATAATATCCTTTGTTTACTGTATATTGATACACTGGACTACAGCGAGTTGTGTAAACATCACTGTACAGGCATATGAATCACAGGGTAAAAGGCAGAATAGAAAACTATGTACAGAGCCACTTCAAGCACTTGTGGTATTTGCCTCCATTCATTAGTTCTTGTTGAGTTATTCTTTGCAGCTGATGGGATATTTTCAGAGGAAGCTGCTGTTTGAAAAAGAAAAAAGGAGTCTGACCAGTCCTATGACACAGTGATCTCTTCACTGTCTGACCCCGAGAGTTCCGACAGTTTGCCGGATAGAGATGTCAGGTGCTGGTGAAGAGGTGACTCATGGCTCTCTCGCCTTTGGCAGTGGGGGCCGCCTACATCAGTGAGGTCCGGGTGGGGATTGGTTTTGGTGGGGAGGGTCTGCTGTCGACAGCCACCTGTCGAAAGCAGCTCCCTCTCTTTGGAATTCCTCCATTTCATCCTGCGGTTCTGAAACCAGATCTTCACCTTCGCAGAAAAAATAACCCGGTGTGAATGTCACTGACCTCGTTCACAGCTCACCAAGTTTTTAATACCGAATATGAGAGCAAACGGACATGAACAACCTTTCTCGTAAACTAAAGTGTTATTCAACAAAGAGACATAACCAAATTGTACCTGGGAATCTTTAAGTCCTAGTTTACTGGCCAGTTTCTTCCTGTCTGGTTTGCTGATGTATTTCTGCCTCTGGAAAGTTCTCTCCAGGGCCTTCCTCTGGAGGTTTGAGAACACAGCCCGCCTCAGCATGCCCCTCCTGGGCTTTCCTCTGGGGGCTAAGGGCCATGAAAAAGTTCCCAGGACAGGAACCACAGAGGACAAAGCTGAAGGGACAAAAAAGATTCATAAGCCGTCCTTGTTTGTAAACATTGCATTATAGTTTTCATTGTCCATTATGCAACTGGCTAGTGGTGAAATAAAAATGAATCAAATTCAGTAAAACCCTTGGTGCCACTGCAGCCAACCGTTATCCCATTTCTTCATGACAGAACAACGGCTGACATGAAGAAAGAAGAAATTATATATTTGATTAGGTTTATAAGTCATGGGCCTGGCTTATTAACATTTACGGTGATCCTAACAGCATACATTAGAATACATTGTATGCCTTAGAATAAATTGTATCCATTAATCTGCAGTTGTTTCTGTATCCACTGCTAAAGGTAACATAGTTTCATTTTAAAAATACTTTTCATTTGATTAATTATCAATTATTTGCATAATCAGTGTCATTATATTTTGGTCTTCTCATGGAGCAAGTTTCTTAGCATCTTGACGAGACTGATTCCAGGTTCATTCTTATCATTCTTTGAAATATTTGGCCATAATATATTTGTTCTGCCCGAAATGTGGCGCTAAAAAGCCCCAACGTGTCCAGCAGTGGAAACAGAGCCTATGGTAATGGACAGTCTCTCCAAAGCGCAGCCCATACTACCTTTAATGAGGCATGAAGGAGGATTGTATAGGCTGCAAATGCAGAGAAAAGGGATTGTGTTGTAATGAACTGAGGGCCGTCGACACTACGGGCCCATTAAAGACAGGAGAGTATATTACAGGCCCATTAAAGCCAGCCCAAAACACTACATTTTTCCAAAAAGTGAGCCAGTGTAGAATGATTCAGTGATTGTCCTAAACACACTTCACATTGCTGCCACACAAGTCTAAACTGAGTTGATTAAGATCCTAGATTGCGCCGAAACACGTACGATTATAATAATCCAGTGTCTGCTTTTCACGTGAACCAACAAGTGGACGAAAAGAAGGGAAATGAAGACGCTGTACAGATCTTAACGCTGATTGGCCATGACTCAGACATGTCACATCTTTTATTGCAAAGATCACGTCACCTTTTCATCTATCTCAGAAACGCTGGCCAGCCAGTTGAACCCCACCACCAAAAATAACCTACACTACACAATTCATGTGGATGACATATTTTGATTTAAAAATAATGAATTTTCCATTAAAAACCGGCCCATTAAAGACAGTCCAGTATAGGCCTTAAAAAAGAGCCAATAGATTGACACCGCTTATGGATCTTTCCTGTGCTGCTATCAAACCATTTCCCTTTACGTATTGATAAGTGATCAATTAATCAGTACAATGTTGGAAATTAATGAGTGAGTGTCTGTGTGTGTGTGGTTTTGGCTCCTATTGGTCACGGTTAGGGATCTTTGTGGGATTGCAGAGGGGCTTAGTGGATAAATTGGAGAAAAAAAAAAAAGAGGTTCCTGAGCTTGGAAAAGACCTGACTCACATTTAGACCGTGACAAACAGCGCTGGTTTACTGAGAGCATGACTAACTGAACTAATTTGTAGATTGTGACAACTGGTGCTAACATCAGCAGTCAGTGCAGTGCCTAATAGACCTTCAAATTGGTTGAGCTGATTCTGAACTGTCCGGGGAATTCCCATTGTAAAAGGCTGAAACACCTGCCGAGAGCACATCAGCAGCAGCAGCATCATCATCGTCAGCATCCATAACAGCTGGTAAGATTTGCAGCTGCTACCCTACACCCTATTTTTGTTGTTTTATGTTGGGAAAAGATGTGGAATGCCAGTGAAAATGAGGTCCATATTTTCAGCCTGAAGTGAAACCACAATGAAGAAGGGATCAACGTATGGGACTAAGGGATGTGACTAAGGGATGTTTGACAAGTAAATATTCCTTTGTAGATTTTAAACTGTACAGTCAGAGTTTTAAAGGATTATTAAAACACTTTTAATTGCAGTTTATTGAGTAGTTGTCCTCTTGCAGATCTCTCTTGTAAAAGTTGTTAATCTCAAAGAGACTAAATTGACTCATTGCACCAACCTGTGAAACAGGAAGCTCTGATGAAAGGATGGAAGCCCCCTTCAAAGAAAGGAAGAGGGAAGGACTTGGTCTGAACACTCTGGACTGAGGAGCAAACAGTACAAGAACACATTGACTGGGATGATATTTCCTAACATAAACAGGAGATACCACAGGCACAAAAATAGCACAATGACAAATATGTCAAATATCCAATATTTTGATAAAAGGGTCAAGGCAAGTGATAACAGATGATAGTTTTAATTGTTTTGGATGCACCTCAGCAGTTAATTTATTAGCCATATGCTATTTTACTGGCCTATTTTCATATCAATTTATCAATGTCAGTAACAGTGAGAGAGGGACAGCAGGTTGCTGAGCTGGTGTCCTGATATTGCATCGGCTACTGTGGGATTTCAAAAGTACAAATATTACTGCTACTAATACTATTAAGTAATAAGAAGTAGCCTAATAATCGCAATGATAATAATAATTAATCCAATAATAATTACAAAAATAAATATTGTGTCAGAAGTGTATCGTCATTCGGCCTGATACTCACTGCTCCGTGTAGACGGTGCCAGGATCGCACTAACGCCAAATTTGAGGTCGCTGGAGTTAGGGCAGCCAGTGTGCGGAGATCCGGGGCTACTGCGGCTCGGCTGGCTGGAGCTCTGGCGCACCGAGCGCTCTGCGCTGGCCTCTAATGCCCGGGGCGGGCCGCACGGTTCCACGCTGAGTGGGATCATGTGTCCGGAGCCTCTTAAAGACAAAGTCCTGTGTATGTAGGTGACCGGCTGGCTCAATCGGAGGTCTTCCACCAGGAAGCCTGAGTGGAATGAGCGGTTCACGGGCGAGGAGAGAGCCGCCGCGGGATGCAGTGAGCTCGGGTACAGAGCAGGCGGTACAGAGCAGGGAAACATCATGGTTCCGATGTGGACAAGTTTCAAACTATTTTGTGTTTCGTTCGCAAAGAACCCTTGAAGGAAAAAATAAAGAGACGGCTACAGAAACGTTCGCTGCACGCGCTATGTCTCTATGCGCCCTTTTGGAGAAGTTTTATACAACGGAGTCACACACACACACACACACTCTCGTACACACGCACATGTTCAGCCCTGAGCCTCCGCCTGGTTTCTCTGAACAGAAAGGCTAGGCCAGGGGATTGGTCAACCGTCGTCTATTGTTTGATCTATTGTAGGTCGACTGCAAGGTGCTCGTGCATAAATGTCATTACCAGGATCCAGGTGAAGGGCCAGAGCCTATGGAGGTTGAAGCTCACCTGGGCATTTCATGACCAGCAGGACTCCTTTTAGTAGTTGTCCACAGGGTTCTACTATTGACCCATTGGATTATCTGTGATGATAGCTGTGACATGCTGACACAGAAGGTGAATCTGTTCTTACTGGTTAAGAATGCTCTGAAAAAGTATACCCCACTGCAGTGCCGGCTGGCAATAGAGAGCAAATGGTTGCCCCACATGGAGCCCCTGCTTGAGCCCCCCAAACAGTTAGTATTAAAGAATAAAAAATATCAATATTTGTTTTTTTAAAGTATAGAATGTATTCAGTAATATTTGTAAAGTACAATATCTGCGCAAAATATATGCTTTTCCTGCACGTCTCTGTCTGTCATAAGCACATCCGGTCTTTGTGCGCATTTTAGCTGCGCTAGGGGCAATCTACAGAAAGCTGGTTTAAGAAGTACTTTAGCCATTTGCTGATTAAATTAAAAAAATGTGGGACGGCTAATTTGGCCAATCAGTCCCCTTAAATAGACTCAGGCTGGGGAAGCATCGGTTGTGCCCCAAGCTTGCACGTTTTTGCAAAGGCAAGTATCGGCAGGCGGATAACATTCTGGAGGAAGTAAAGAGCATCAGCATCGCCATTCAAGCAGACGAGTTGACCAATATATATACAGTACGTATATTATATCATACTGATTATTATTTGATTTTATATATATCTATATAAATAATAATCAGTTATTATTACGGCTGTCAACTTTAATGCATTATTCTATACGATTAATGTGGCCTAGATTAATGCAACAAAAATGTTTAAGTTAGTTAGTTAACGTTCGTTCGTTTACTTCTGGCACCGGAAGTATGTGAAGTGGTGCGAGATACAGCAGAGAACTGTGCAGAGGAATTACTTCACGTGTCAAATAGAAGATGGGTGAGTAGCAAACGGATCAGTTAAAGCACTGCTATGCTAAGCGGCAAATCACTGTCAAAATTCGAGAGCGCCAATCAGGTTGATGCGCGCGCGTAAATCAAACATCTGCGAGCAAATCTCCGTCTCGCGCGAGCAAAAGTCCGTCTCGCGCGAGCAAAAGTCCGTCTCGCGAGATTTTTGCTCGCTCGCGAAACGAAAGTGTTTTCTACACGCTCGCTGTTGTTCTCTTTGAGAGTAAGGGGGCGGAGCCAGTCACCATGGTATCTCTACATCTCTACATCCATTTCCGCACTGGTTGTCATCTACGGTCCACTACGGTTACAGAGAGGTATCGTTTGTGTCTTGACAGCGTTTTATCTCATAATTTTGACTTTCTATCCACTTTCTGTAGTGCGGAGAATTAAAAAAGAATTACTACTACAGTGTTGAAAAGTAGCCGTGATTTACAAAACTCGATGTAATCCAAATAGTTAAAGATGCTGTTCTGGAAGAGGTGTTACTGTGGAATCTACATTCCTTTTGAAATCCCCCAAACAATCAAGAAAAAAACTTTTTAAAAACTGAAATTTTTACAAATGTGATGAGCAGCTATCACTGAAGGAAAGAAGAAAAATGAGCAGTGCATAAAGTGTCTATTGGATTCTAATTAGAAATTATTAAATAAATATACAACAGCCACAGGTTTAAAAAAAGGACAAAGCAACAAACAAAATAACTGTTGGGCTAGTAGATGTGATGAATATTATAGGTAGACTCCCCCTCCATTTGGATTTTCTTTCGAGGCCACATGAACCACTAGCATGCCTTTAACCAAAGTGTGAGAGCTAGTTGAACAGTGTCAGCCTTCTCATCTATGTGACATTTCAAACCGAGATCCATAAATACTTTTTATGCGCACCTTTCAACATAATCTTTTAAACTACTTATTTTGAATATACTCATAGGCATACTATAATAATAAAAAAATAACTTCACTAAATTTGCAGCCAACTTTTGATTGGTCATCCTGCCGGGAAATACAGAGAGAGCAAATAGTTGCGTTCAAAGCATTTTATTCCTTCAGAAAATCCCTCTAATGTATTGAAGTGGAGCAGATGGTTCCCTTGGGGGAAATATGGGCATCAGCAGAACTAATATCAGCCTCTGGTCTGACAAACAGACCGGGCCAGCTGCTCGAATCTTAACCAGTACAACAGCTGTCGGTATATTAAACACCAGTTAAGACTAATTTTTACAGGAACCGTCTTCACCTTACTGGCCGAATTGGTTATACATACAAAAAAGGGAAAACAAATAGGGCTGTGTCTTTGGTGAACCACTTCACTGAATGCTCATTAGTTATAGATTGGTAATGGGAGCTCAGAGCAACACATTGCTGTGCTAACAAACGATCCTATTATAAGATGTTCCTTTCTTCTATTGACAGCCCATTCTGCTCTAATCTTATTGAAGTCTCATAACATTCTGCAGCCCTTCTGCAGGAGACTTAAAGCACCTGGCAGGTTGTTTAGAGGGGAGCTTGTAAATGCCTGTGGTTAAAATGAGCTCTGTGGCCTAAACACAAGCCAAGCACTGTCGGAGAAGAGGGGAGGGGGACCGATTTGGTTGTCAAGTCCACTTAAAATTTTGGTTTTGTCACTGGTTGAGGAAAAAGAACCCTAACCCTGTGCCTGACCCTTTTGCTTGGAATTGGCTCAAAACAGAGGCAACCAAGGTAGATCAATCGACAAACAACAAAATCACCTAATATGCCAACAATGCTCATACTAAATAGTTAGTTTCTTACAAAAACAAATCTTTAGCTTTACAGAAGCTGAAATCCATATTTGTCATTTTACACTCAACACGTTTTGGCTTGGTTAATGGATCTGGTGCTCTTAATCGGGTCGATTCGAAAGAGGGGTTGGACCACCACAGCCAGTAGATCTCAGAGTCAATCCAGTCACAAACACTGGAAACAAAGTATTGTGGAACAAAATAAGTTGTGTGCATTAATGTTGACAGTAATGGCAATGGGACTAATAACAGAGAAGCAGTAGGTGTCAGTGGGGCCATGTCAGGGTGCAGGTCCGGGGTCTAGAAGGAATCATGATCGGGGAAGAAGGTGAATTGATGATGTGCTTTAATGAGATGTGAATTCTTTTGGTACATTCACACCAAAAGCGAAGCAAATTATTCGTGTGTAGATTCCATGTAAAGTCAATTCCAGGAGCAGTCAGTGAAATTCAAGCTGTGTGCGGCGACGAATGATGTCATGAACCCAAACACAACACCGTTTGTGTAATTCACACAACAAATAAAGAGCAGAAATTGTGGTTATTTATTTCCATGGTGGATAGCAGAAACGATAACTGTCTTTACGGGGACACGTAACGGAGATAAGCGACGCCCCCTTCCAGGTTCTAATGAAGCGAAAAAAATGTGACGCGAATGGAGATCAGTGTGTCCTAGGAAATCCCCCAGCAGTGTAGGCCTATAGCAGCTTATCAACAGGGTTCGTACGGTCATGGAAAACCTGGAAAAGTCTAACCAGAAGGCTGGTCTCGTCTGGCTTGATACAATTGATTATCGTCTGCATAACTGCATAAGGGTATGCAATTTTTTCACATCGCTGTGTCATTTTAAACATTGGTGGAGTTCCACAATGATTAGATTAATGAAACAGAACCAGGCGAAGCTGACAAAAACAATGCGCATGTATATTTCTGTCTTAGTGCATACTCTGTTAATGTCATCAGCTCCACGAAAGAGACCACTGGAGTGGCTTTGCCTAATCCACACACGGCTATGAGCACAGTTGAAAAGAACACCTTAGAGGACAATATCTTTGATAACTAGAAAGCTACTGTGCATGCTGCTGCAGTGAAATGTAATGTAAATGCAAGCCTAAAAGAAATTGTCACAGTTAAAATCACAAAGGATTAATGTGCCGTACACTCAATACTATTTTTCAAAAGACATTTAATGAATGACTCAGAGGTGGCGTCAGGACTTTGACTTTCTGTGAGGACCAGGTAGAGCAGTGGTGTATAATTAGAGGTAAGCCTGCGGAATATTTTGGTTCCAATGTAGTTGGACATATTCCACTTCATGATTGCTGTTCCATTGTACCACTATTCCTAAATTCAACAGATATTGTTCTACATAGTGACATTTCAAAACCATTTCATTTTGGTTGTTCTTGGTTGTTCTCTAGAAACGTCAGTCACTCACAGAAACATAACCTCATTACTTTACACTTATTTATGACATTAATTATGTATATCGTATAAATAGATAATTGTTTCCATTGCTAGTTTGGGGCCTTTAGATGGTTCAGAGGGGATTGTCTTTTAGCCTGGGGGAATCATCTTCTGAAAAGGCCTGCGTTAACTCAGGCTGATGGGTTGAGCATAGGGTTAAGGGCATAGTCTCAGAACTAGCTGAGGTGAAGAGACCAAGGTTAGCGCTAGGCTTAAAGATGAATACGACCAGTCTTATTTCTGAGGCGGCCTGAATACAAGGACGCCAGCACAGCACTGCATGGCTTGCAGGTATTGAGGCGGGCTGTGCTACATAATTGGATTGAATGCTAGCCACGGTATTTATGTCACTTCACGTCTTGTCAATCCCATAACAGGCATGGCAACGGCGTGGAGATCTCCCATGGAGACGGGACTTTGCCTTATTCAGATAGAATGGAAAGAAAGAAGCCAAGCCTCATTTATTTCACGTTTAATTCTCACTCAAACCATTTTAAGGGCTGATGCTATTTGCATAACTGGGAAAAAAAGGTTTCTGCCTTGTCCCAATGACACTGTGTGTGTATGGGAGAGAAAGAAAGAGAACTGTGTTGCAGTGTTGTAATTGAAAATGTATTGTAGGCTT